GATAGCTATACTCCCATGATCACTGCAGCATTAATCAAAATTGCCAAAATATGGACGCAACCTAGGCATCCATCAACAGATTAATACAGAAGATGTGGTATATGTACATAATGGAATATAATTCAGCCATAAGAATGTTTGCAACAACATCAATGCACCTTGATGACATTATATATACTAAGTGAAATTTGTCCGACAAAGACAAATACTGCATGGCATCACTTATATGTGGAATTAAAAAAATTTTTTGTTTTAAGTTCAAACTCATAGGAACAGAAAGTAAAGAGGTTGCCAGGGGCTGGGGTTGCGGGAAATAGGGAGAGGTTGTTAAAAGGGTAGTACAAACTTTAGCTATAAGATGAATAAGGTCTGAGGATCTAATGTAAAACACGACGACTACGGTTCATAACACTGTATCGTATAAGTGAAATTTGCTAAGAGAGTAGAACTTAAATGTTCTCACTCACACACACACACTAAAACATAAATTTGGATGTTTTAATTAACCGGATGGAGGAATCGTTTCACAGCGTATGTATTAAATCACTATTATGTACAATTTAAATATTTACATTTTTATGTGTCAATCATGCCTCAATAAAGTTGAAATAAATAATTAACTAAATCATAAAAATCAGTCAAAGAAAAGATACGCTGTTTCAAAGAAGTAACAATAAGACTAACAACTGACTTTACAACAGAAATGATGGAAACCATGAAACAATACAATAACACCTTTAATAACAGAAAGTAACTCCATGCTATAATTCTGTTCTAAGCAAATAAATCCTTCAAAAATAAAAGAGAATAAAGACATTTTCAGGTAGACCCAAGCTAGGAAAATTTATTCCAGCAGATTCATACCAATGGGCAGAAAAAAACACTCCTAGAAAAAACTTTAGATATTTATGAAGACATGAAGAACTAGGAAAAGCTTCCATATTTGGATAACACTAAATGAAAACTGACTTCATATAACATATGCATTATACACATAATATATAAACAACAATAATAATGTTTTATGTCTTTTAGTTCTACATTTATTTTATACCCCACAATACCAAAAATTGATGATGATATAGGAGTTGTTCTAAAGCCACTGTATCTGTTATCTGGGCAATGATCAAAGTATTAAACTTCAAAAAATCAAGGTAGAATGCTTTAATCTCTGGGAAACAATTAAAAGAAGAGAAAAAATAAATAAAAGCCATCAGAAGGGTTAAATTGGATTTTTTTAAATTGAAAATTCCAAAGCAGGCACACACAAAAAGAGAGAAATAAAAAACGCATGGGTCAAACACAAAATAAATAAAATAACAGAGTAACAGTTACACTAAATAAAAATGGATTAAGTTTTCTAATTATAAGATAAAAATTATCACACTAGATTTTAAAAAATGAAATAGTTGGTGTCTACAAGACACATAGACAAGACATAACAACTGAGAAAGATTGAAAGTAGAAAGAAAGAAAAAGATATACCATAAAAATACTAACCAAAAGAAGGCTGATATAGCAAATTTTTAACAGGAAAAAATACTTTAAGAATCTTTACTACAAAACAAAAATAAAATTTAAAAATTAAAAAAAAAAGAATCTTTGCTACAGATAAAGAGGTATAATTTATAATGATACAAGAGTCAATCCATCCAACCCAGAAAGGTATTAGAATTCTAAGATTGTATGAAGCTAGTAATGTAGCTTCAAATTATCAACATGTAAATCAATGAAATGACTAGAATTTATTTCAACAAATACTAAGTGCCTATTGAATATTTGGTTTGCTTCAGATCCTTGGAATATTTGGGGATATATAAATTATAAAATATCTTCTCTAGTCTTAGTTATAATTCTGGTCCTAAAATTTAGCTTTACTCTGGTAAACTTAGGTAGATTAGAAAAACCAATAATAAACACTCTATTTTTATGAGTTTAAATTAGTCAAACAAAACTGTCTTTTCTTATATTGGGCAATATATGGTAAAGTTCTCCATATACCTAACTTGATAATATATGAATCACTTCATTCAGAGAATATATCATAAACAGGATTAAAACACACTAGATTCCTCAATAGCATAATATTGAAAATATCATAACAAAACCTCTTTGGGTTTCAATTTCACTATCTCTTACATGAAGGTAATTATGAAAGCATCCTACTTAACACAATAAGGATACCATAAAACTTGGGCTAAGAGAACAACTCCTGCTCAGCACTACTAGAATAACTCTGTCAGGTCCCTACAACTACTTAAAACTTATTATTACTTAAGGCCCTTATTTACAACCAACATGAGCTAGCTAATTATTTGATTTTTACTCGATAAACCTATTGGATAACACTATTTTGATTTTTTTAAATTTAAAAATCACCTGTAATGCTTCTACAATTGATTTCTCTAAGGAAAATCCAGTTTGAATTTTCAAAACCCATCTTATACTCATTTTTTATCTTTTCCTTCTAGATTTTTTTTATCACTTAATAAACTTTTACTAGGCTGCTAGTCTTCTGTTGACAACCAAAATGCATATAAATATATGTATCTAAGTATTTAAATATTATCACCTAAATCAGTTTTTCCATAAAAAAAAAGTCAACTGGTAGTAATAATTTTTCCAGAGTTTCTACCTTTCATTTGGAAAGAAAATTACATTTTGTAATTTCAAATGTCTAATCCTTCAGCTGAGTATTACCACTCTATTCTTGAGTATTGGAATTTCTTTAATCTGTGATAAACTTCCCAGTAATGTTTTTAAACAGTCTATGAAATTTTCATAAAAATAGGCCAAAGATAAATTGTTTTTTCCTTCTGAGAGCTTTCACTAAAATCAAAAGTAACATAAATTGAATGACTATTATATACCAGGTACTTTTACATGTGTTATCTTATTTAACCTCATGTTTTTTCATATTTTGCAGAAGACAACATTGCAATTCAGTAAGGTTAAACCATATGTCAAAGTTTATACATATAACAAGAAAAGCCAGGTATTGAGCTTATGTATATCTGTTTACAAAGCCAAAAATCATTCTACCACCAGGGGTTGGCAAACTCAATATAAAGATCCAGATAGTTGCCCAGGTCAGTGTGCTCAGTTGGTTGGAATGTCGCCCAGTATACCAAAAGGTCACAGGTTCAACTCCCAATCAGGGCACATACCCAGTTTTGGGTTCCACTGCCCATCAGGGAGCATGGGAGGCAACCAATCAATCTCTCTCTCTCTCAAATCAATAAAATAAATTTAAAATTTTTTTAAGTAAGTGAAGGGTCTAATTTAACCCAAGGCTCATAGTTTGCCAATTCCTCCAAGATAATACAATGCATGCCCTCCTAGAGAACTTCTATTAGCTTTTCATTAACATCAATAAATTTTTTTCTCTCTAAGTTTATAAAATTATGACCTTAATCTTACTGGGCAATTTTATTTTAATGCTTTTCTTATTAGGCTCAATTATTAGAAACAGGTTACTCTTGAGGGACAATGTACAACCTTTTACATATTCTAAATATAGTACCAATCATATTAGAAATTACTCTATAAATAAGATGAAACATTCCTAAAACTATAGTATTAGCATGCACAAAATACCCATTGTGAAAATGTCAAAGTTAAAGTTCCCATATTGAACTTTTCAGTTACTAGTATATAATTTTAATTGCTCAACCTATATTTAATAAGCATAATCACAGTCCAGAAACAATAGCAAATATCCTTTTAATTATACAAAATAATCAGGTGTACAAAAAATATAAATATATAGAACTTAAAGACCTTCTCTCACTCTCCTTTATTCTAAAATTTAATTATATGTACCACCACTGAACTTATTTTTAATATAAAAGATTGAAATAATATAAATAAGAAAAATTCCCCTTTGCCATCAAGATTTCTTTCTTCCCTCTCCTCCCCTTGCTTCCTCACATACACATTTGCACACCTGTGCATTTTCTCTCTCTCTCTCTCTCTCTCTCATACACACACACACACACACACACACAGTATTTTAAAAACACGAAGTCCAAATAACATACAATATGAGACTCAAACACCAGCTCTACACACAAAACACATAAGGTAAGATTCAGAACACAAGATCAGGTTCAAATCCCAGCTCTACAACTAAAATCAGCTTTGTGCTTTCAATAACTACTAATATAAAGTCTGTTAGTCTGTTTCCTCATCTATAAAAATGGGGGAGAACTGTACCCACTTCAAGTGGTTGTTAGGAGCATTAGAGTGAGAATTAAAATGACAAGCCCATAACATAGTGTTGATATACAGTCAAAGACTTAAAACTTCGAGTTGCTGCTATTACCAATACCACCACCACCATCGCCATTTGGGGCAAATGCTATTAACATTTGTTGTATTCCCTCTACAAAGCAGGAAAAGTACTGCCCTGCCTCAAATAGTACATATAACAACTTTCTGAAGCATCCTACAAATTCTTCTTCTTCTATTATATATTGTTAAAAGTTAGGGGGAAGTCTTTTATCTCAATAATTTCAAGTTTCTTTGAGAAATTTTAAAATACTGAAGTCTACTTTTATTTCTGAAAACAAGAAGTTAACATTTTTCACCTTCTCATTATTGTATTTTAAACCAAAACATATACAGTGTGTGCCAAAGGAATGTATACACACACTTTGAGTAATTATAAAGGCAGTGTTTATTAAAATATATTTCATTTTCAAAACTGAGCTATCAGTTATTAAGGTGTGTATACATTTTTTTGGGATACCCTGTATATCAAAAGATCTATTATGTTGTTTTTTAAAGAAAGTCATTCAACACTAATAATCATAAATGGATTCAGTTATAAAAGGGAATGTCCGATTAAGGTATACTTTCTCAATCCCAATATATTTTAAAATCCATTAATTTAGGTTTATTTTTGTTACTTTTGTTTTCAGTCTTCTGCACTTAAAGGAACCATGCTGATAACTGTATGTACAGCTGTTCTAACATTAGTAGGTAGAAACATTTCTTACCAAGTTACGATTTTTTAGTGGAAGAAAGTAATAATAGTGGCAGAAAGAAAACATCAGTGCGTAGCAAGTAAGAAGTTCAGTGTAGAAACACAGTTGCAGAAAGAGCCAATGATTATCTTCACCAACACAATTGTTAATCCTGAAAAATAAATAAATAAATTTAACTTTAATAAGATGTTAATTTCAGAATTGGCAAAAATAAACAAAGAACTTCCTATAATCTTAACTTCATGGAAATAGGCTGAAGTCACTCAAACCTGAAAGCAAACTACATAGGAAAAGATATACTAACATAAATATGCCACCTCACGTCTGTAAAGCACTTTCTACTTTACAAAGGAAGTCCACACGTATATGATACCCCTAAAACTCACAACCACCCAGTGAGGCAGGAAGAACAGATGGCAGTCTCCTTGCTCCACTGATATGAGAAAAGGAACAAAGGAGTTAAACTTGCCAGAGATGTACAGTTAGAAGTTAAGACACTTGTCAAAGCATGTACAGTTAGTTAGTGGCCAAGAGAACAAGAACCGTCTTCTATACATTGCTCTTTCATACAGCATTCTAGCTTCAAGAGCAATTTGAATGATGGGAAGTAAAATAACTTAAACCTGCCACTCTGAAATAACTGCTAAGCACTCACAATTTTTCTTACTTTTAAAAGCTATCCTTGGTTGCTGAAAATAAACACATATCCAAAACTATTTACAGATTCTTAGAGCTACACTTCCAGCAATACAATAGTGAGCCATAACTAGGAAAAATGATTAATGTCATAATCCCAAAATTTTCAAAGCTAATAGAAGCTAAATGTTTTATTGTTCCAAAATGTATTGTTTCCAAAATTTACTGTACCCAAATTTTCAAAATATTTTACAATTTCAGGACAAAACCCTAGTTCATAACCATAAGTAAGCCTATACAAACGTTTTTATTTCAATATAATATCATACTGGCACTGTTTTAAAAAACTATATAATAGGTTCAGTTCCTAACTTGTTTTAAAGGTGTGTTGTTAAGCTATTTTTTAAAATCAGATACAGAAGTGAACAGAAAATCTTGCAGAGGCAATTTTTAGACTTAGGAGCTCGTGCGTTAACAAAAAAATGTCCTGTGTTTCATCATTCACACGCAGGGCTATGAGAAAACTGTGTTTACATATGCACTCAAAAATACTCTTCAACAGATACTGCTTGAAAAATGAGTTACCCTTGTTCTATCCCTCCAGTCCCCCTAAACTTGAGAAATAACTGCTATGATCATGGCACTCTTCTTAACCAGGGGGCTTTAAGAAACAGTAAGGTACTTGGTGTACATACGTAAGAGTTCTTTGGTAACAATTATACTACATAGAGTGAACAGATCCAGAAACAGAAAACCTTATGGAGATCTGAAAACTGACCTCCAAATCTAAAGCTGTTGGGCATCTAGAACAATGCAGTTTCTGAAAATAACAAAAATTCTCCTTTCTTCCAATTTACACTGTACAATTTCCCTCACTCTGGATATTTCAACAATGCTCTCTTAGGGAATTCAATCATGAAAATCTCTAAACCTATTAGGACCCTGGCCTACCCTCCTTTCCTATCCCCTAACTCTTTCTACTTCCACTCTTCTTCCTACCAACATTCTGAAAAGTTGACTCAATTGAAAGCAAGAGGCCTAGAAACAGAGAACTCATCCCAATCCTAGAGTTTAGGCTAAAGAGCACTTTAATTTGTCACTGAACTTTATTTTGTCACTGAGTTATCTTTATTCCCTAAAAGTAAATAAATAATATCACAAATCTCTATAGTACCAAAGTATTTCCTAATTAACTGTTTATGTTTCTAAGCTTAAATTGCTGCATTCTTTTAAAAGGAAGTACCAATATCCAACTGTATATGAGCATTTATTATACTGTTAATCAAAAACACTGCTCTCGCCCGACCGGGCGTGGCTCAGCGGTTGAGCGTCAGCCTGGGATCCAGGCGAACAGGGTTCAATTCCTGGTCAGGGCACATGCCCGGCTTGAGGGCTTGATCAATGACTCTCATCATTGATGTTTCTGTCTCTCTCCTTTCCTCTCTCTGAAATCAATAAAGATAAACTAAAAAAAAAAAAAAAAACAACTAAAAAAAAAAAAACACTGCTCTAAAACGTGTATAAAATTGAGTTTTCGGTGAGATTACCACTTACCAGTTTACCTAGCTTTTATTAATCTATTACTACTATAACAATAAACAGATCATTGAGATGTAGAAAACACTTGAGAATTATTCTGTATAAATTCTAGGAACATTTTTAAAGACCAGCTATGTGTTATATACTATATTACCTTATTGATGAAATATACAGTGTATCCCAAAAACATTTATACACTCTAACAGCTGATAGCTCAGTTGATGTTTCTTTCTTTTCAGCCAGATTAAGCTTTGAACAAAGGAAATTCATCCTAAAATGCTACTGGAAGTTTGAAAATGCAGTTGAAGTACAAACACTGCCTTTATAATTATTCAAAGTGTGTATACGTTTTTTGGGACATGTCTGATAACTCACTTAATTTTCACTGCTTTTTAGATTTAACTGATTTGAAATAATGGGTGAAGCCAGACTAAGCTTTGAACAAAGAAAATTTATCCGCTAGACTTTTTTATGGGGATACATAAAAGATAAAGTTTACGGTACAAAACCAGCAACAGTTTATGAATTGAGGGCTCACATATACTGAACAAAATGACTCTTGATGTTCGTGATTCCACTGCTTCATGTTATTAGCAGTGCCTGGACCAAAACAGTCATCAGTTTGAAAACAGGCATTGACAAAAAAAATTATTCATTTCTGTAGATTCTTTTAAATTTTGAAAATGAACTATATGTTAATAAACACTGACTTTATAATCATTCAAAGTGTGTATACATTTTTGGGACACCATATATATAGATATATATATATATCTATAT